TTGACCGCACTGGTACGGTGTTTTCTCGGTTTTGTTCGTACCAGCATCAGGGTGCTGTTTGGTCGTGAGCAAAGGGCGTTCTTGTCGGTCCGCCCGCACAGATGCAGTCCGTCCGACAAACAGCACGCTGTCTGTCTGCAAGGAAGATTCTCCCAAGTGGCGGCTGGGACGGCTTGTCGAGTGAGAATGAGCGGTGCTAAGCCAGGGCGTCATGCCAGAGATTGGTGTCTCTCTGCATGGACACACACACATAGAAGATGTGCAGATCCTCATCCATCCATCCATCCATCCACGTGTGCTTACGATTTGCGAGTGACATGGCCGCTTGGGAAAGGCCAATGACCCTAACACTACGTCGGATTGGCCACGACCAGCACACGGGGACGGGCAATGAGCACTCGCGCATGTGGCGGACTGGCGAACAAAACACAGAGATGGACAGAAAGCCATGGGACGCGACACACACGTGTGTGGGGGGTTGGGGCTTGGGGGTTGCTTACGGCTTGGTCCTAGAGTGAGGTACAGTGCTGGTCGGCAGCCACAGGGAGGGCATGTGTGTTGTGTGTGGGTGGGCGAGACGATTGTCGAAGCGACTACGCCTCCCTCCCACACCACACACATCGCCTGAGCCATCCCGGGTGATGGACGGGATACGGCCGAAGTGGCCTTCCCCCGCCCATCGTGGGCTGGCTCGGACGACTGACATGGCCCACCTGCCAAGGCACGCACACATGAGACACACCGGTTGGTCACAGCTTGGTGCGTCCAGTGCTCCCTCACGTACCTTCTCAAGGTTACACATATCAACCCGCCTCGGCACGAGCTCTTTGGTGACCATGGCCGCCCCGTGCGCAGTCGATTCGTCGGCCACATCCCCTCCGCCTCCCATAATGCGCTGCCCGATGCGGTCACCGTTGCCGGTGGTCGGTGCCGGTGGCTGTGCCTGGCCAGCGGCAGCAGCAGCAGCAGCAGCTGGGACGAGAGACGGAATTGGTGCGGCAAGCTTCTGCTGCTTCAACTGCGGTGCGGGGGGTGGATCGATGACGCCGGCCTTCCTGGGCACCTCACGCGGGCGGGCCGATGGGGCGATCGAGGGATAGTGAGTGGCGCCAGGGTCTGGTTGGCTTCGTTATGGACCGACCATGTGTATCATCTGATTGATGGACCGACACAGATGGATGGATGAATGGATGGATGGTCGACTGCTATGATGCAGCATGTAATTACTTACCTTTTGGTAGAGTAAAGGACCGCGAGGCGAACCGGGGCGCTTTGTATCCCCCCACACAATTGGCCCGTCTTGACATAGGCGTTGTGCCTGTTGGACAACACATCAACCAAAGGGTGCGTGCAGTGCCGTCGTGTCTGCGTCTCGTGTGTGGGTGGTGCGTACGTGCGATGTACGTGGTTGCGCGTCGGTGAGCCCGTGCAGTAGGCAATAGCAATATCAGTCACAACGAATCGATCTGCAGAAAGAGGGCGAGAGCACACACAACACGATGGATGACACACGGACGCATACACGCGTTAGTCGCGAGCGCGTTAAGGTCCGTACCAGCTGATCCGGTAGCAGGCTGACGGAGTAGAGTTGACGCAGACGCAGTGGGGGCGTCATCAGGGTGGAACCTGCGAAATGTTCACCCACATTGACGGCTCGATCTGTTTGTTGGTGGCGGTGACTCGGCGACTTACCGAGTAGAGTAGAGCAAAGGGCTGGCGTAGCAAAGCAACCAAGCAACCTGCACACACCACACGACAGACAGAAAGTGCATAGAGTCCCGGGGGCTGTGTGCTGTGTGCGTGCGTACCTCAGTGCGTGTGACAGACAGGGCGGACGCCACACAAGCCGACGACAGACCCACCCACGACAAAACTCCCCCTCTCTCAACACACACGCCCTCACTCACGCACGCGATTAATCGATCGATGCAGCAGACCCAGGCAATACGTACACATATACAGGCAGGCAGTCTGGCAGGACGCAGGCAGGTACCCGGAACGAAAAAAGCGAATGGATGGATGGATGTGGCCCTGACCACCACCCGACTCGCATCGTTGGCAGTGCCGTCCTCGTACAGAATCCCCGATGTGTCCCCGAGCTCCAGCGTCCCCTTGTCCACCGTCAGCTCCCACCGCACCAACGCCCGCGCCGCCCCGCCCACAGCCGACGCTCCATCGACGTCCGACACAACCAGGTCGGAGAACACCTTCGGCGACGGCCCGGCAATGACTCGGTATGAGCCCTGGAAGGCTGAGCCGTCGGCCCACCTGATGGCTGGAAGGTCGTCTTGGGTCGTGATGGTGACGGTGAGGGGCTGGGATGTGGAGGAAGGGGCGAGAGATGAGGTGGGCGAGAGGCGGCGTGTGAGGGTGAAGGTGACGGTCTGGGTGGCGGTGATGTCTGGGGGTGGGGTGTACAGCAGCCTGGTCAGAAAGTGGTTGATGTTGGCTGCGGGGCCGTTGACCGAGATGGGGCTGCTCTCACTGCTCTCGCCCGCAATGATTCTTGGAGGCGGTCACATTCAGCTCCAGGAAACACGAGCCGTCCACCACCATGCTGCAGTCGCCGTGTGCCACACCGACCACACCCGCCAGAGCCCCCCCCACCGAACGCATCCGCCCCAACCAGAGGCCAATGCCATCACGCACCCTCCCCTCCCCGTCATGGCATGTGGCGGCCGAATCCTCCCCTCCCCCTTAGACGCCGCCCTAGTCACGAAGAAGTCGAGAATAGTGCGATTATCTCGGCCAGCGATGCCCTCTCCTCCTCCTGCGGATGCATGCCCTTCTCGATGAGCAGCTGGGCCATCTGGAGGTCCTCGATGGCCTCCAGGCTCGCCCCCTCGCCCCGCTGCCGCTCCCACCGCAACCGCCTCTCCACCGCACTGCGCAGCCACTGGTAGCGCTCGACGTGCCCCTCTCTCGAGATCGCCTGCACGGCGGCGCTGGGGTGGGCACCTCCGTCGATGACCCGCTTGATGGCCGCGGTCTCCCTCTGCACCTTGCTGGCGAAGTGCTTCTCGTACAGGGGCGTGCCGTGGGCATCGCTGGTGAAGAATGGACCGGCCTCGTCGTAGATCTCGGAGTTGTGGTTGCTGCCGGCCGGGTGGTTCATGTGTGGCGCCATCAGGACGGCCGCCCCCAGGGAGCACACCGTATAGACGTCTGCGGCCTTGCTGACGGGGCCGAACAGGGTGAGGGGGGCGCCTCGGTCGTCCGTCGGCTGGTGCTGTCGCGGTTGATGATGGCATCCATCGTGTCGGCGACCTTCTTCAGCGCTTCCGGGTCGCAGTGGGGGGCCGGGACGGGGGCGGGCTTGACGTCAAATTTGGTCTGGGGCAGCGAGGGGAGCGGCTGCTGCGTCTCCGCCTGACGTCTGGCCATCTCGAAGTCGATCCACTGGCTGCACAGCCGGCGGGCGACGGCGTCCCAAACGACCAGAACGTTCTGGCCGTTGGTATCGCCGTGGACCCAGTCAGCCGCGTGCATGGCAGCCAGGGACGACAGCGCTGAGATGACCAGACGTCGATGGGCCTCCGGTGACAGCTGCAGGCGGCGCAGCGTCTGGTGGAT